GTCACATTGTAAGTGAGCATGGTGTGCAAACTGAAAGCAGTGCGTGACTGGCCAATACCAGACAATGTGGGAGAGTTGAGAAGTTTCTTGGGATTCTGTACCTATTACCGAAGTTTGTGAAGGACTTTGCAACTATAGCTGCTCCACTACATGATTTGACCAAAAAAGGCCAGAAGTTTGAATGGACAATTTCTTGCCAGCATTCTTTCAAGACGTTGAAGGAAAAATTGGCCTCTGCTCCACTTTTAAAGCTTCCAGATCCTTCACTGCCGTACATACTGGATTGTGATGCTAGTAATGTCAGAATTGGAGGGGTGTTGTCTCAGAAAGTGGGCGAAAACGAACATGTGGTGGCCTACTTCAGTAGGGTTTTGAGTGGACCAGAGAGGAACTACTGTGTGACACAAAGGGAACTCCTTGCTATAGTAAAGAGTCTGACATATTTCCATCCTTACCTCTATGGTGCCGATCTTAACCAGCGTAACGCAGCATGGTCTGTCCTGATAGTAAACCTTATTAAAGAACCCACAGGGACAACTGGCACGTTGGATCGGAAAAATAGACCAGTATAATTATAATATTGAATATATAGAAGGAAAAAAACGACCTCTATACAAATCTACTTTTAGATTAATGGTCAAATTCTGATAGTTTGTTTTGATTTGTCTGGAATTTCGCACAAAGCTATTTGAGGGATAATTGCTCCAGTTGTCCCTAATTTAACAGTCTTAGACTAGAGAGAAGACAGTTTGTCAACACCACCCACTGCAAACTCTTGGGCTACTCTTTTACCAACAAATAGTGGGATTGATCCTATATACTCCCCACGGCTGAAAAGGCAAGCATGTTCGGTGACGGGGATTCGGAACCACGATACGCAGTTGCGAGTCAAGCACCCTAATCAAAATTCTTATAGGCCTCTGAAATACTCAGGTTACATATTTAAAATGTTTTGTGCTTTTCAACACCATGTTGATAGAATGTTTTGTGAACAAATCCCCCCCCCCCTTTTGTTGCAATAAACATACCTGGGCGTAAGAAAATGGTTCTTCTTCTGTGGACTTCGTAGAAATGTGCTTTTAAATTAGATACCCAATGCTTGTTATCCCCTCCCCATAAAATATCCTATCTGCTTATCCAAAACATATTATTTGGAGCGCTTTTCGGGATTGTGTATATCTAAAGGTTGTTTTGTAAATATATTTCATTTTGGGATAGGAGAACAAGCTTTGCTTTGGACCCCCCCCCCCCTCCTCTCTCTCTATCTCTTCCCTACGTAGTTTAAATAAGTATTAAAATGAAACTTTATATTTTTAATATCAAATCAAATGAACGCTTGCGAACAAGAAATATTTGGTTACCAATAAGACCAGGCCAGCCTCGTGTATCATTCGGAATTGTTCGGTCGATTCCGCTATTATACTCTGAATCGGCTGAGTAGTTCCCAGAGCCTCGTACAAATGTAACAGCACGACTAATTCCGACTCGAAAGCAATTTCCTGTTCTAGTGCTACTGCGTGTATCACTCTCCAGTTTTATTTGGAACATATAGTCTAAGGTAAGCTGTCTTCTGAAATTAGGCTCAGCCAAGCCCTATGTTCTAATTTTGTTTCGTTGAAAGGTCAGTTTTGCATGAAATTGAAATTATGTACGTAACTCACTTAACCTAAAATTCGTGCTCAGTGTCGCTGTCAGTTACTTCAGTCGACGATAGCACTAGTTTAGTGGGTATAAGCTATAACTATAATTTATAAAAGTACTATAACATTAACAGTATAAATTAACTCGTGACATAAGCCTGAAACTGAAAGTGAAACACAAAAAAACATTGTGATTCCGCTTATGTTAATATTTGATATTGGGGAAAGAAAATCCAATGTAATCTCGCAGAATTGCATGTTTCACTTATTGAAATCAGTGTTTTGAAAATATATATTAAAATAGTGTTCGCTCGGAAAATAATGTTATTTCAAAGGAAAATCCCTATGAAATTATATGTACCTATTTAAAATTTAATTCTGGAAGCAGCTCATAAAAAAACTTAAAAACTGATTCGTAAGGTGAAGTGTGCAAATTAAATACACAAATAAGTTTTGTGTTTTATTACAGGAGAAAGAGAAATAATGAATTTCCTTCCTTGCAAAGTATGGAATAGTCTTTATGCCCAGTGTGAATGTAACTTGTAAAGAGACATTTGGCATAAATACTGTGCTACTGGGCTTGGCATTTTTATTTTTAAATATGGAGAAGAATGCTGTTTAAAACTACAGAAACAGTATGATGATATGCAGGGGGAGGTGCTATTGCACCCTCTTGAAATGCACCAATATAAATTTTCCAAGTATTGTTTTGCCACATTTTTTTTTTCCTCAAAAGTAGCATCCCCTCTACAGATTTCTGCTTACTGTAAAAAAATAAATAAATCATTTATTGATTGTAGTTTGTTTCTAATATTGTTTTAGTAAAGTAGCAGTGCTCTAACATTTTGTGTTTTTACTTTGTTTGATAAAAATCATTTTAGGACCATAATTTTATAAATAATTTTGAAATGCAAGTACATTTTACTGTGTCTTGTTCTACAATCCATCCCAGTACCTAATGTGATCCATCAGTGGGTTGTGACACACAGTTTGGGAACTGATTGATCGGTGTGTCTGGATTGTGAATCTGAAGATTCGTGGTTCATATCCTGTTGTTAGAAAAATGAACTGTACTTTAGGTCAGTGGATGGACTCTAACAGTGGTGGTTAAAGACCATTATTTGTACTGATTAGAGCAGACCAAGAGTTGGTGGTGGACACTGTTAACCAGCTACTACTTTCCCTCTAATCTCTCAGTTCAAAATGAGGGAGAGCTTTTCTAGATATTCAATTCCAGTCATCCAACCTAAATACAAGGCATACTGGTTTAGTTTTTACTTTAAGTTTTATGTTAGGTCTATAACTGTTTGGAGTATTAAGGTAAAGCTTTGGTTGTCTCCGTTGATATTGTTTGTTCCGACAAGTTAGTGTGAACTCAAAATTTAAGATCATTTATGAAATTAATTCATGGCATATTAATAAAATATTTATTGGTAAAAATCTGTTATATCAACAACTTCTAATATATATACAAAAGCCAGTGCTTTTGGTCACACTACACTTTAATAATGGCTTTTATGTCATGTCGTTAGTCTGTGTGCTGAAAGTATAAAATAAAATGTATAGACAAAAAAACTGGAAAAATATTTGCTGATTTCTAATTTAGAGTCTCTGTTGATTAAAGAGGTTTGTTTTTTTATTAAAAACTTTGGTGCAATAACAGAAAATAGCTTAATTCAGAAACGATTTATGTTTAAAATTGAATTGATATTTTTACTTTCATGATCAGTTTTATGCACTTGGCTCTAGGCTAGGGGATCTCATGCTACATCTTTACTTTAGGATTATTATACCAACACTCACTACACATAAGGTTTCACTACACACACACACACACACACACACACACACACACACACACCCTCACGCCTCCTTGCACCCCTAACACTAAAATCATAATGGCAGACAATAATTGAACTATTCTATCTGGATAAATGCATTTGGCTTTTATGATTCCTCCTATTTGGAGAAATCGAGCATGATGTAACACACACTGGCTTTTATGTAGGTTGGACAAAATAATTTACAAATGAAGTTTGATATCTCAGAAAAGTAAAGCGAAATTAAGCATTCTTCAAGTTAAAATGTAAATAATATTGGATTAGTTTAACCTATCATTTTGTTATTATCAGCAAATTTTTTCAAAATAAAATAGATGTTACTATCCATATAATTAAAAGAAATAAACCCAGATGAACATCATGGCTTACCTGATAAAAAAAAAAAAGGAAATATTTCCATTTAGAATTAACGTTTATGTGCATGAAGAAGCCATTTTTTAACATTTACCAGTAACACCATGACAGCCCCCCCCCTAAAAAAAAAATCAACCTGTTAAGAACCTAGGGTCTTTAGAAAGGTGAGATAAATAACATTTACATGGGGTACATTCTTCCAAATATTATCAATAATTCTTAACATTTTAAGGCCCTTTTGAATCATGCTGACCATAGTGTATTTTGCTAATTATCTCTTTATATATATAGATATCCAAATTATATCATTTCCAACTATGATCATTTAAAAAAAACTGAAACTAGATGCTTAAAGCACACGTACAAAAGTTCTATGGTATAAAATTTAAAAAAAAAGGGTACAGGCTATTTGGGCCACAAAGTTCAACAGTAGACACTACAAATAGAATATGAAATTATATATATAGTAAATTTAATTTTTGACAACATTATTAAATCTAAATAACATTATTCAAGAGTTGCAAGCTAAATAATCTTTCTAAACCTTTCATGGTATATATACATTCTCTTACTAATGTTCATATATTCTACTTAAGAAAAAAAAAATATGTATAAGCAGAATATTGTGATCATGGAAAAAAAAAAGCTTTATGATTGGTATTTTTAGAATGACTTGCAACCACTTTATCACAGTAGTTTTGCAGCAACGCATTTTGTTCCTCATATGAAAGATAAGTTGTTTTTCATTGTGCGTTATCCATGTATCCCACAGGACTGCTTAGAATCAGAAAATAACATTACTGTTACTATGGCATTACAGCCTGTAGAGTTTAATGACTGTTTCTTAAAGTTCTTGCCCAAAAGTTGTTCACAAGAAATTAGTAGAAGAAAAACTTGTGTAAAAAGTCTGTTTCAATGTTGAAAAAATGTGATTATAAAATAATGCATCCATTTAAAACCATTTAGATATGAAAGCTTATTCAATTTTTAAGGAAACCAGGTTTGGCTTAATAAATCAAGCTGGCTGTAAAGAGATATGGAGCTGAAAACATTGAAGAAGCTTTCTATTCCAGAAGCTCATGAATGTATCTACACACCCTGCTATTGGTAAGAATAAACAGATTGTAGACTTTAGGTGTTAAACAAACAAAATGAGGTTGTGTTGTTAATTTTCAGGTATTAAAATTAGAATTTTATAGTTAAAATGGCTTAAATAAACCTGCTGTTGTGCATTTTTTAAAAACTGGCATGGTTTCAGGTTGAATACTGCTGGAAAGAATACTTTTCACTATTTTCTTATTGATTTGTACATTTAAACCGTGAATTATGTGGCTTCTGTTTCATATTATCTGTAAGATAACCAAATGAAGTGAAAACTGTATGTTCATATAGATTCCAGCTATAGAAATGTTTCCTAAGTTCTTGTATGTCTCCTGAATAGAATACCAATTATAAAAGCTATAGTTAAAAAGGAAAATGTCTGCTTTTAACCACTTTTTTTATTCAACTGCACCTGTTTAACATTTAAAGCTTTGATATAATGTTTTCTTGAACATTCCTGTATGCCTGATATATATAAAAAACAAAAACAAAAAAAACAACCAAGCCATAATTTTCAGTTTTAAGTATTAGGGATAATTAGTTGAAGCATTGTTGAGCAAGACTTGCTTATCTTTACATTGTATGTTTTCTGTGTAGTGCAATAACATGGCCCACATTTCCATAACAATTGTGCAATAGATGATAAAAGCACCAAAGTTAGCACACACTACAAATAAATTACATCTGCATTCCCACCCTCTGGGAATTTGAAATGGCCACAGCTTAGAATCATACTAGCTAACCTGTGGCCTATGGTCCACAGTTCTAGGGCTGCTATAATGCAAATGTAATGCTTGAACTTCTCTTTTGCACTTTTTCAGTTTAGTGATCATTGCTGCTACAATACAAATTTAATTTCTTTAACCAAGATACAAACAATAAATTAGTATGTCTACTTATTTATGTGCTTTAATGTAAATCAGTGCCAAATGTGGGGTTCACTAAGGACTTGGGTGAAAAGTGTTACCTTTGTGCAGACCTTGGGCCTGAGACGATTTGTTTTGCACCAATTAGAAGTTGATTGGTCTGGCAGTTTAGGATAACGTTTTTTTTTTTGGAAACCCCTGGGTTCCCCAAGGGTTTCGGTGAAAAATATTGCCTTTGCACAAACCTCAGGACTGGTACTCGTTTGGTACCACTTAGAAATCAGTGGGATCAGTGGTTTAGGAGGAGTTGCATGACACACAGACACCGATTCTTATTATATGAATTTCTCATTATATCTTTGGATCTAAGCCAGTTAGAGATTTGATTTCATTGGCTAATCCTACATTTTCAGGGATAAAAAATTAAATGGAGCCATTTAGAAGATGATAGACTAACTGCCATATTGAGTTTCAAAATGGCTGCAGTTAAAACTGATTTTGTCAGTATATCCATTGTAACTAGCTTGAGTCTTGATTTGGCTTATCATATATTTTTTAGAACCGCATTGTTTGCACACCATCATGATTATCAGTTTTGTGTAATGATGTGAGGTTAAAGATAAAATATAAAACTTAAGTCATTTGCTTAAATGCATAGAAGGTCTGGGGATTGTTTTATCTTTAAAGGCTAACTAATGTAGAAAACATATCTCACCAGTGTGTGTAGTTATGCACAGAAATAAGTACTATGTATATTTTATATCCATATTTGTATGTACTGATGGGGTGTGTCAGCCTTTGCTTTGGTGCTTTTGTTACTAAATGTACAGTTATTTTGTAATGCTGCCACACTATAGTTATTGATGTGTTACATAAGGACTATGTATAGTAAGTAAGTATTGTTGAAATTAGGCTTTGAAAATGCATTTATTTGGTAAAACTACCATGATTATATCTGTATGTACTAAGAGTCAAACTGAGTTGGTGTAATTAAAATAAACAGGTTTATACAGTCAAATTTTCTTTAATATTTTTGTGGTCTGATACATAGTGTGGTATATTATTGCTCAAAAGTATTTATGCTTCTTGTTAAACCTGCATAAGTTAAAGAATATATGAGCAGTAAAACATTTACAGATCTTATCATAGATCTACTACCTCTAAAGATCATGGAAACCTGAGACAGCCTTCAAGTAACATTGTTTAGTATTAAACTTTTGAAAGCAAAGTTTTTGTTTTTTAAAATCAGAATTTGTTGCCATTTATAAATCTCATTAGAATTATGTATCCATGTTAAATTAATATTGCTATTGACTCCATTACAATCAAATACATCTAAAAACAAAATGAGTACCTAAAGTTTGTTGCAATAATTTATTTGCAGTTTTTAATGCAAATTATTGAAGATAGAAAATGGTCATTAATTTTTTATTAACTGTTACTAATAAAATAGGGAGTTTTACTTTTAATTGAATATACTTACTCAATAGTACCATGTTTTTTTGTTTTTTTTGGTAACTGATATATTTTTGAACTTAATGGCTCACAGCCATTTAATCGATTTTTGCTTTTCTACTTACAGTGAAGAAAATGTTTGGAAACTTTGTGAGTTTGTGGCAAAAGAACAGCCTGAACTTATTAAATATTGTTATGTAGTTTTCATATCAAATGAAAACCAAAGAGTAAGTACCCAGAGAAGGTTGTTTTTTTTAGGGGGATGTGTGTAAAACTAGATCTTTTTGTTTTGTGGAGTATTTAAATGCAATATTTTGAGCTTTAAAGATATTCAAAATGCAGTGCTCAATCTATTGTGGTAATATTTTTTTTTCAGAATTTATTACAAATGGATGCTGAATAATTTGCTGATACTTAAGTTGATAGATTGAATTCTGGTGTACTAGTATCTTTATTTTTGTAGGAAACTAATATTTCTTTTGTTTTTCACCCTACTTAATAAAGTTGTGTGTGTATGTATATATGTATATTTTACACTGTAAAAAATAAATTTAAAATTAATTATACATACTATAAAAATGATTAAGGGAAGGGGGACAAATGGGTTCAATTGCCTTGGGCCCCTCAACTAAAGGGAAAGAAATCAAAAATTGTATGCCTTGCTGAATAACATATAATTGTAACTGACTGTCACAATGACAACACCAATTTAAATTTTAATATAAACTTACTATTTATTAATTTTTAATTAATATATTCTTACAGCTTGTTCTTTCATAGATTTAGCAAAAACATTTGTTGTCATTACTTTATATTTATTATAAATATTATAATCAGTATTTTGTATATTATCTACCCATTGCTTATGTTTGTGTATAGCTCAAACTGTAGTTAATAAATAATATTTAATTATATTTTACTTATTTATTAGGCCCAGCAGGGCCAGGTGGTTAGGACGCTCGACTCGCAATCTGCGGGTCGTG